TATTTTTATGTTAATTATTTAATTATTTATTAAATTATGAATAAAATATGAGTTTTGATTTTTTCCAATTTTTTTTTGATCTATACTGTAAATTAAATAAAATTTTTAGAAATGGCTTTATTAAAATACTAACAAAAAAGTTTATAATGCATTTGTTATTAAAATAAATATTAAAAGTAAATAAAAAAATTTTTTTTAATTTATCAATGTTTATAATTAAAAAAATTAATTTAATAATTAATGAATTTTTCTTTACACACTGTATGCAGTATGTTATTTTTGAAATAAAATTCTACTCGGTTAGGCAGTTATTTGAAATTCATAACTGATGATAATACTGTTATATAAGCAAACGATCCGAATGTTACTAAATTTAAAATATTCGTGGATATTGTACATGTGCAAATGCGTGTTTCGCGCGATCTTTGATATAGTGGTGAGTGAAATTTTTTTGATTGCATCTCGGAAAGTTTAGTTATAACTTTCATTTTTAATTACAAAGTGATATATTGTATCAATTAACTTGCAATTTACAGCTGCTGATACAGTTTAATACTATACATAAATTAACAGATTTAATGTACATTATTAAGCTATTTGCATTTTAGCAAATTTATTTTTATGCTACCTATTTACCATTGCCTTCTAGCAAGACAGATTAAAAGTATTTCCTTGCTACTCCTTTTACTATTGAGCATTAAATACTTACATATAAAGTACAGAAAAACGACCAATAGTTATAAAGTCTAGCTTTCAACTTCCTAAACCGACAATATTGGCGAAACCATTATTATTAAACCCACAAGAAATACCAAAGTGCAAACATCCTCCCAAAGGCTGTTCCAAATGAGATTATATCTTAGCAAAACTGTAAGCACATCAGAAAACGGTGATGGTAGATTAGCAGCCAAACTACCCAGAGTAGATCCTTGAAATGTTTGATCCTGCAAAGAAAATATAAAGATGCATTTGTAGAAATGTCGAGAAATAAAATACAAGACATTCTATAATATTATGAGAATTTCACCTTTTGCAGAAACAAGCGTGAAGATTGAAGTACAAGTTCAACGGTCACAAAATACCAAAATAATGACTGTTGAAAATTATAAAAAAGGAAATTTCAATATCGCGTATAATGAAAACCGGTAATAATAATCTTGTTTTTAAATGTATTTACCACACTATGAACCGTATCATTAATAATATCATCTGGATTTGAATATTTCAGACTCGAAAATCGACTCCAAATATCAACTTCCGGTGATTCTCTATAAAAAACCATCAATACCATTAAGATCATCGCAGAAAAGTGAATCAATCGCCACATCTTGGATTGCAAATTAGCTTGCTGTTGATCCCCTCCAGATGAGGGGAAAAGTTTCGTATTGAAAGGAAATAATGTTGAAAGAGGAAAGGGTGGAATTTGCTGTGACTGGAGTATTTCTTGTACCGCTGAATCTTCTGGTGTGATCATAAATGGGAATCCGCTGGGTGATGACATATTGTGAAATTCACTAGTACCGCCAGGTAATTCTAAAGAATTAGTACTAGAATTTTTTGCCCGAAAATCTTCTAATGTCTTTCGAATGTAATCGTCATCTCTGTTGTACTGAATGAAATCCTTAATGCTATCTTCATCTGATTGATTGGTAGTTGATAATGTTGTCGACTGATTTGGAGAGGGCGTTGTTGGCCTGAGATATTCGGGTAGAGGTTCTGAAAGATTGAAAGAATGAATTGAATTAAAATTCAACTCGAAATACATTTTTCATTGATTGTTCCAATGTTTACAAGTAAATGTTCCAGCTAACACTATACCAAGATTTCCAGTATTTCTCCTGCTTGCAAACGGACTTTCAGGGGCTTCAGAAGCTACAGGGCTTGGTAGAGGAGAGGACTTCCTACTTGTGAAGGGGGAGGTTCCGGTTGATACTGGGTCAGCAGTTAGAGAGCTTGAGTAAGTAGATGTTATCTTGCGTAGTCTACTGTCTGCAGAGCCCAAGATTCTTTGTGCTCTTCGCTGACGACGTTCTGCATCGCTTGTAGAACGACTCTTCTTATTAGTAGTTGAACCGTCGGACATTTGATATAAAAGATCGTGATACTTCGAAATCGATTTAAAATTCCAAACGGTTTTTGATTGGTAAATGTTACTAATTGTGGGATATCGCCAAATATGGTAAGGGTGCAATTCTTGATTGAAATAGTTAAAGAAATAATGAACAGAATAACATTTTTAAAAATATTTATTTTATGAACATAATAAAAATAAAATGAAATTTTTACTGGTTATTTTAATATATTCAGAATATATCAATATTATCGATAAATTTATAATTTATTATTTTAAAATGTAAATTTTATTCATTCGAGTCAAAAAACTATTAGGAAACCTGTCGAATAGAGAAAGGATAACACGTACAATCTTCGTTCCTACTGGCATTCTGGAATTTCGATGAATTGTCAAACTCGTCTTCGTGTAGGGACGTTTATGTTGCATATGTGTAAGAATAATGGAGAGAGGGTGCAGTAGCACAAGCACAAGTGATATTTGATTTATGCAGTGTAAATTCTATGTTGATTTTTTTATGGTGACCCAGTAATTCAACTTTCT